AATTGCCTGAAAAATGCAGTTTATCAACCAAAAGATCCAAGATTTTCTTACTAATTTAAGTTATATATACACACAATAGCTTTGATACAGAAGTTTTAATTAAACAGGCAGTTCCCCCAAAATATATACACATTTTAAGAAAGGAAAAAACTGTATTAAAATTGTAATACTCAATATATACCAATAACAAAAGATAAATACAAGTCATATTTGAGCACTTCTTATAATTGCAGAAGCAAATGTGACTTGAGTATTGCAACTTTAATACAGTTTTTTCCTTTTCAAAAGTGTGCATACTTTTTTTTGGCACTTACTGTAAAGGTAGTCACATCTGTTGATTCTTTTTTCCCTTTTTTCTAAGTCTAAAAATTCTTACTACCCATCTCCTGAAACACAAGGTTTAACAGAATACAATTCTTTTTGCTTCTGTGGTTTGATTTTTATGTTTTTTCCCCCTTTGCTTTATCTGGAGTTTATTCTGGGCTATGAAATGAGCATCTGAACTAAGTTCTTTACTTTGTCCATTTGTTTGCTTGTTCTGTTGCCCAGACTAGAGTGCTGTGATATCAGTTCACAGCAACCTCAAATACCTGGGTTTAAGCCATCCTGCTGCCTCAGTCTCCTAAGTAGCTGGAAACTATTACAGGTGACAACTATACAGCTAAATTTTATATTTTAATAGAGACAGAGTGTCACTCTTGCTTAGAGTGGTCTTGAACTCCTGAACTCAAAGGACTCTCCCACTTCAGCTTCCCAGAGTGCAAGGATTATAGGCGTGAGCCAGTGCACCTGGCCATTTGTTACAAGCTCAATAAGTTTATTTTGGCTGGGTGTAGTGACTCATACCTATGATCCTAGCACTCTGGGAGGCAGATGCAGGTGGACTGCCTGAGCTCATAGTTCCAGACCAGCCTGAACCAGAGCGAGACCTCCTCTAAATATAGCTAGGCATAGTGGCAGGAGCCTGTAGTCTCAGGTACTTAGGAGGCTGAGGGAAGAGAATTGCTTAAGCCCAAGAATTTGAGGTTGCTGTGGACTGTGACACCACCACACTCTACCGAGTGTGACAAAGTGAGACTCTGTCTCAAAAAAGAAAAGCTTATTTTGATACAAAGTATCATATGAACTCTTTGTCCCATTTCATCCAACTTGTCTACCTTCAAAGCATTATAAAATATTTAGATATCTTAACGGGTAGGTTGAGTCCTTTTATTATTGCATGATTTCTCAAAAATTTATTAAATATTCTTATTTATTCCTTTAGAGGATTACTGGTATCCTTCTCTTTAACTTTTATATAAACTGGGATTTTCAATGAAAATCAAAGACATCTTTAAATACTTAAATAGACTAATGTCCCAAATCTGAAATCTGAAATGCTCCAAAACCTTAACTTTTTGAGTACTGACCTGAGGGCTCAAATGAAACGCTCACTGGAGCATTTAGGATTTGGGATGTTCAGCTGATATACAAGACAAAAACCTGTACACGTGAAAGATTAATAAAACATTTAAGATCACGTAGAACTTAGAAGAATCATCATTTGAACCCAGGCCTATCATAAGGCAAAGTCTGGATTCTGTTTTAAAATATGGTGTCCCAAGATTTTGTTTCAAATTTATCAAGTGCTACAGTTAACTTCATTTAGGTCATATAGGTGTTTAGTAAGGTAATTCCCAAGGACTTTATATGGTTTTGTTACCAGTGTAATTAGATTTTTTCTTAATTGGTTAATGATAGTAATGAGGAATAAAATTTTAAAAAATCTTTAAATATTTGCTTCAAAATGAAATCAATTCTCACCTTTACAGAAAATACAACACCTCCTTTAGGTTTAAATGAATTGAACAGAGCCAGCAAATCTTTTGCCTTTAATCTATCCCAATCCATGTTACAAA